TAATTAAATGCTATAAAAGTACAAGTGTTTTATATTTGCTCAAACGTTGAATTTTGATTTTTTTTGTTTTTTTCAATTCAGTACGAGACAGGGTTAAGAAATTACAGAATAAATTAGCAAATGTAATTAAATAGTAAATCAATAAAGAACTTTAAATTTAGATCATGTTTAAATCAACAAATAAAAAAATAACAAATGTCTCAACATCTATGAAAAATCCATTAGATACTACAATATGAGCAGTTTCTGTTTGTGTCCAAAATTGATAATGAAATGCCGATGAAGTGTTTTGCAAACTTTTTTTTTTATGCTTTTAAACTCTTTACAAGAAAAATAAGCAGCCCATTGAAGAAAAATATGACTGAAATAGGCCGTAACACATGTTATAAAACCCATCTAACGACAGAAAATGAATTCAATCAAATCGCATTCAAAGAAATAATATTCTCAGAATCTTCTGTTAACGACAAACAGTGGTACCTGTGCTGAGTGTGCAGAGCCATTACGATAATTGATTACTACACGGACAATAGAGTCCGATAACTGGAATGGAAACAACGGTGCTCACTTCTACAACAATATGCCTCTTGATTGTAACAATCCACCGATCAAGATAAGGATGCCTACCTAGCCAACTCCACCAAAATCTATATAATCTGATTTTTATAATATATGGGAGGACTTTCAGTTTTAACTTGAACAAACATCCTACTTGTTCAAATAAATGAACATTATTTGCACTTTATTTCCAAGGATCCACTTTTAGCTCTGTGTACCAGCTTCTTGAATATTCAACTAATTCAATTCAACTACTGCACAACTGCAATAACAATAAGCAGTTAATTAGCTTGTATTTTTTATTATTTTAAGCCAGACTAATACCTATAAATTTGTAACACTGTTATTATTCTTAGGGAACTATAATCCCAGTATAAAATTATTTTTTCATCAAATGTAATTAAATACAAAATCTATAATGAACTTTAAATTTAGATCAAGTTTGAATCAACAAATAAACCAAAAAAATGTCTTCACATCTATGGAAAATCAATTAGATACTACAATATGAGCAGTTGCTGTCTGTCTCCAAAATTGATATTGAAATACCGAGGAAGTGTTTTGCAAACTTCTTTCTTTTCTTTTTTTTTTTATTGTCACAATCCACCGATCAAGATGAGGATTTCTACCTATCTTGGAGAATCTATATAATCTGATTTTTATAATATATCGGAGGAAGTCCAATTTTTTCTTGAACAAACATCCTACTTTTTGTGATAAATGAATATTAATTGAACTTTATTTCCAAGGATTTACTTTTAACTCTACATACTAGCTTCTTCAATATTCCATTTTTTTTTTTAATTTGATCGATCGTCGAATACTTCGTAAAACAGACTGTTTTCTTCCTCAGTTTAATAGACTACAAGTAGTCAATAAACCCACATTTTTCAAAAAAGGAGATGTTATGGCGAGGCCCACATTTTTACGAAGTTTTGAATTTTGAGGGGAGCACATTTGTATGGGGTTTTGAGTTTTTGAGGGAAGGAAATTTGAAGGAAGTTTTGAATATTTGAGGGAAGCACATTTATAATGATATAATATATACCTGATTTGTGTAGGATAATTAGAAGAACTTTTAAGCCAGAGAACAAATAGAAAACATAGCACAGGTCACAGCAAGTGTAATTGTATATAAACTACAATTATCCTAATTTTACTTTTGATTACACTGTTTTCAAGAAGACGAAAGCAATGAAATTTCTTGGGGAGAGAGGACATGCGCCATAAACCTTGGGAGGATGGGCACCTATGGTAAACTATCAACACAGATTTTAACATTCATAGTCACACGCCATAAATCTTGGCATTATTTGCAGACCCATCTTTAGAGCAAGTTGCTAAAGTATTTAGCATTCATTAATGAAATTTATCTGAAGATAAGGAAGGTTTAGAGATATTTTAACTTATTAATCATTCATACTCAAATTGATTGAAATTTAACTACTATTTGAATAATTCCACAAAAAGCTATCTAACAGATACAGATTACAGGAGTAGATCCGTAATAAGGAAGTAATCTTTATAAAATTCCAGAGGAAAAGTACAATAGTCAAATTAAATTCCTGAAAGACTTGACATCAATGTATCAACTATCATAAGGAAATAACCTTGAGAAAATATTTTAATTTAGAAAATAGATACCTGACCTTCCATAATAAACTTCATAACCATCCGAATCCTCTTGTTTCTAACTTTGCTCCCTATTCGATTCCTAATAACCCTCCGAGGCGTCTGAAAAGAAGATGGCCTCGTGATCTCCTTATGTAGACATTAGACATTAAACATTAGAGTACTACCAATGAGTAGTTTCTCAACAATCGTTTTCATGTGATTATATTCCTCTGTACACTTTTGTTTGATAATGCTTGATGTATTTATACTAATACAGTTGTAAATATCATAAATAAAAAAATATATAAAATACAATATAAAAAAACTCATGGGTAATAAATATTCAGGAGGCAGGCATTATAAAGTTTTTATCAGTGCCAACATTTCAACCCAAACATGTGGGTCATCATCAGGGCGTGGTTCGAGCACTGAAGGTATTCAAGTACTGTGAATATTTATTACCCATGATATGTAGAACAGTCGACTAGCTTCCTTCAATAATTCATAAAATAACTATATTTATTTAAAAGGGGTATTAAATAATTAACAATATTAAAAAAATTGTGAAGTGTTATTATTTCTAACTTACTGTGGGGCTAACTTATGGGTAAAAGGACTCACCTAAAACAAAACAAAAACATATGATTAATACTTATTATATAAAACTATATATGATAAAAAAATTAATATATTTTGATGTATTGTAATACTATTTACAATACTTAGTAACATACTAGGTTTTTTTTACTCGACAAAGCGAAGCTACACCAGGGTTAGAATAGAATAGAAAATAAACTTTATTCTGGGAAGAGGTCCCTTAAAAATAACAATTGGACAGAAAATAAGATCCACATCTAACCAAAACTTACATTAATCAAAATTAAAGAATATATACAATATCTTCAGTGAAAGTATAATAAAAATAAAAAGTAACACCGTTTTGAAAAAAACAAACATTATTTAAATGAAAAGAAAAACAGAAATCAGGTAAAATAGAAAACAAAATGTTATAAGCACTATAACATATGGGGTGATTATTATAACTAAAACTCAAACAATTTCAACAACCATTCACCTCAGTCAAAATTTTATTCATAGTATTTATTTCATTGTACAACGTCATGTTCGGAAGTGAGAAGGAATTGGTTGAGATGATATTTGAATGAGGGCAAGGAAGAGGCATGGCGGATTTCAGATGACAAGGAAATCCAGAAGGCAGTGGATCGGGCAACAAAGGAATATTCAATGGTCTCAGTTCAATGGAAAGGGATATAAAGGTCAGAAACACGGGGTCTTACTTGTTAGAGTTGACGACTAAAAGCTATGTAACGCTTTCTTGAGATAACGGCTGGATCGATTTTTAAGTTACATGGATCAAATTATTAGGTGAGATCATCTGAGTGTTTTGAAACAATTTGAGCTAAAAATACTGAATTAAATAAAGTGTGCTTAATCAATTTTCTGAGCTCTTCGTAACGGTTTTTTGAGCAAAAGGGTAGATCGATTTTTAAGTTTGATATCGTAATTATTTGGTGAAGTCACATAAGTATTTTGGAACAATTTGTGCTAAAAACACTGACTCATGTCTGAATAAAATGTGTTTAATTGATTTTCTAAAAGTTATTCCACGAATTATTTTGAGAGCGGTAGGAACGATTTTTATGTTTTATATATTTTTATTTGTCGGAACAAGACTTCCATTGAACTCCTATATTGAAGTTTGATATCTTACATTATTCTGTGAGCTGCTATAAGTGTTTTGAAATAATTCGAACTCTGGCAAATCACTGTTTAAATTCAGTTTAATGAATACGCTAAAAGGTAAATAATGATTTTTTGAGTGGATGGCACAGCCAATTTTTAACTTTGACGGCTACAATGTTCTTTGAGATCCAAGTGTTTTGAAGCAATTGGAGCACAAAATGACAAAAAAAAAAATATTATAGTTTAAGTATCTCGATTATTAATTGATTTGAAATTACATCATATTATGATCATATGTTATATTGGATATAATATTATATTAAAAAAAAAACGGATTACAGAAATTGGTAAATTCTATCCACCCAAAGGGAATGTAATGTACTTGAACAACTTGATAGATTGATGGGAAAATTGACATGTACGAATATTTTAACTTGGTGTTATAGTCGGGTGCCACACACTCCGAACGAAACTCAAGACTCGTATATTTACATGGGACGAAGTCTATTAACCTGGAACAGTTATGTATATTAAAAGGACTATTATATCAAGTTTAAATCAATATCAATGAGTATATCAAGATAGTTAAGTAGATATGGAGGTCCATTCTCTTAGGATGGATAGAATTCCCCAATTTTTGTGGTAGATTTTTTTTTAATTCAATTTTTTTTATATTTGAAATAATTGAATATTTGTATGATAAAAAAATTACTAAAAATTTAAGCCGCAGTAGAATTCAACTGACAAAGAAGTACACAAGATCGAGATGAAACTTTTAGAAAATTGAAAAATGTTCATAAGTAGCTGTAAGCTTAAAATAAAAGAGCGTCTTAGTATGATGTGATTTCGGAGCCTCGCCTGAGTCCATACAGTTGTGACATAGACCGCTGCCAAACACAATGCTATGAATCATTCTTCAGTCCTAAATTTACAAACATTCATTTAAAAAAGTTAATAAAATACATTTTAAATTAAATATTTCTATTCTGAGATGAAAAAAAACAAAAACGGATAGATGTCTCTTGGATGGTTTGAAGCTGAAAACATTGATCTAAGTTGATTGGTATAAGATACCCAATGGTATCTAGGCGCTGTCATGGAATGATGAAGCAGGATATCCACTGTCATGATCTAATTCCATAAAAATTAGATAGAAAATCCAAATCATGTTCTATAAGGCACATATTTAGCCTATGTACGATGAAAAGTTCAACTGATCCTCTCAGAACAGGTAACATAAAGCAAAAAATAATAATACTAATACTAATAATACCCCCTAATAAATATAGGTATTATGAGGCCGGAACGATGGAACGGGTTGCATTAAAAAGAGATACTACACTTAAAATTTTATGCACAGTTACATTTTACAATACCGCATCAAGATCGTTACGGGTTTATGGCTGGCTTCCCATGGGCCATTTATCCCGAATGTAGAGACTATAAAGTAAGATTTCGAATTTATCAGAAATTAATACAATAAAAAAGGAAATTTTTCCCTGCAAATCCCATTTTATTTAGGTAATTTTATTTCTCTCGATATTTCTTAAATATCATATCTATCCCTCAGTTTATCAAGCGTAAATTATCTTAATGAAACAAATAGTAATGATATTTTCAAGTACAAGTCAAATTACAATGATAATAACATTATGATGAGATATGTTTCTAGTTGTGTAACTACTCACAATTATATCTAATCTTAAATATAATTCTATACAACGTTATCCTGCCACCTATTTTCGGCTGATGTATGAAACACAGTATCAAAAGTGGATGATTTAAATGCATCAGTGAATCCAAAAAAATCGCTGTAGGTAACTTTTCTACTGTATGTATCAATTCTTCTTTCCATTTCGTAACTGGTTTTTATATTTTGCGTTCTCTTGGGATCCACTGAATGGCACTGATGGATCCAGGGTAGAGAGAGAGAGAGAGGTATTTTGGGCTAAATCTCCTTTCCCCAAAATGGAGAAAAATATTCATTGCTCTGATTTTTTTTCTTTTTTTTTTTTATTGCTTGTTTTTGTGGATGATATAAGTCAATAATTAAAAATATGAAATATTTTTTTTACTTTATTCAAGTTACTAAATATAAACACGTGTATATATATATATATATATATATATATATATATATATATATATAAATAGTTTGAATATAAATTCAAACTTCACTATTTTATTGGGAATAAGGTCACTTAATTATTATTTAATAAACTAATTAATGTTCATTTCTTCTGTTTATTGACGTTTCGATCCCGGTATTTTCTTTTTATTAGTCAACCATGGGATCCTCTTCAAAGCTAGAATTTAAAAAAAAAAAACGGTAGCTTAATATATCTGCTAGTGGACGGTGCTGAGGCTGTCGGTGTGTCCCTGGCCTGATCGAAGCTCTATTTTTTTAAATTCTAGCTTTGAAGAGGATCCCATGGTTGACTAATAAAAAGAAAATACCGGGATCGAAACGTCAATAAACAGAAGAAATGAACATTAATTAGTTTATTAAATAATAATTAAGTGACCTTATTCCCAATAAAATAGTGAAGTTTGAATTTAATACTCAAAGGTCGATGTAGGAAAAGTTGTAATATTTATATATATATATATATATATATATATATATATATATATATATATATATATATATATATAATATATATATATATATATATATATATATGAATATATATATATATAAATATTGTATGAATATATATTATATATATATTATAATATATATAATCATATATATATATATATATATATATATATAATATGAGGGAAGAGAAGATGAACCAACGTAAATATATATATATTTATATATATATATTTATTTATTATATTTATTTATATATATATATATATATATATATATATATATATATATATATATATATATATATATATATATATATATATAATATGAGGGAAGAGAAGATGAACCAACGTAATATATATATATATATATATATATATATATATATATATATTACGTTGGTATATATATATATAATATATATATATATATATATATATATATATATAATATGAGGGAAGAGAAGATGAACCAACGTAAATAATATGCTTCTAACTGGTAGTTTTCCAAAATAATTCGAATAAAATAAATACCCTTGGTGTATTATATCATTTTTCTTTAAATTAGATATTGTGGATTGTCTGTGAATCTATGTATTATTGGGTTGTTTATCTATGAATTATGTACACATTTTTTACCAGAAGTATGAGTTGTGTGAAAAAAAATTCCGTCTGTTTCTCTTGAGTTTAATCTTCTGTCCGTGTAGTTTAGCTATCCTAATAATTGATAAATATAGCACTGAATCATTTTAGAAAGCAAAGAACATTTAACTATCATTTGCAATAGCCAAAAGAATGATACAAAAAAAAATTTAAATTTAATTCTTTTAAATTAAATTGAACCCAAAACCGATTTCGAGCAAAACTAGTTATCAGTAATATGCAGAAAAAATATATACATATACAAAAAAATAAAGAAATTTATGCGAGATTAAGACATGTGTATATATATATATATATATATATATATATATATATATACATTAATATATCGTTAAACTCCAATGTTTTTAAACTAATATAAAAACATAATGAATCATCAACAGTAATTAAATTTTAAATAAAATCTTCTCTTTGGATTTTCAACAGCTACCGATCCGGAAAAGCGCGAATTCAGGTTATAAATCATCCTGAGAAGTATTGAGCCTGAAGAACAAAGAGATTGGAAATTAGAGAGCTCTCTTTGAAATATTATTCACAATGGTTTCCAAATTATTGTATGAATTACATATTTCACTAGTCGATAAAGTAAACTTATGTGAGAGAATAGTGAATACGATCTCTATGCTGATTTATAAAGAATAATATTTAAAGTTACTGAAAAAAAAGTTAGAGACAGCCAAATGATATTTATAAAACAAAAGAAACTTGTGATAGATATATGTATATATAATTTTTCATCATTCTTAGATGGGATGAGCACTTTTGTTAATTACATACCTGAGCTATAAACTATTTAACAATGTGTCCATATTAATCAAGCTCAACTTCATCTCCAATTTATACATAGGAAGCAGGGTATATCGATGATTAAAGTAATGTGCTCCTATGCTCCGAGTCTCGGGTTTGAGCACGATAAAGGAATCTGATCATTTATTTTTTCAATTAAGGCGATGATCGACCCTAGGGTCTGGAGACCCTCCTGGGGTACACCTAGACTAGAGTCTAGATAGTGTGGATAATAGATGGAAACCTTTTTTATCATTAGAGGCTGCAGTAAGGTTAGGAAGTGCTAATGGAAGCCTCAATAATTCTTCATATTTTACCACTGTTATTTTTATTTATCACTCAATACACACACCTTAATTCTCATAATTCCAAATTGTCGTCATTCAATTAATTAATTGGATGTGGTTCCCCACCTATAGCATAGATAGTGGACTATGAATAAAGTGGGTCCTCTTAATGAAATAATTAATTATGGAAGAAAATCTGACTAAGCTTGATTTCGGTTAAATCTCTTCGTTGGTCATACAAACGTTGACCATGAAACAGTATGTTCTTAAAGAGAAGTAAACCTGAAGAAAATTAAGCCTAGTGGTTATAGTGATCTTGTGTTTATAGTGCCAAACTCTAATTATAAGAAACCCGATTCAGGACTGGGTCCACACATCTTTTATTGGAGACCGAGTGACCGGTCTGGCTAGAGGCATGTGCAAACCACGCCTCGCCCGGCCACCTGATAAACAGAAGTGTTCATGATAATATAATTACGAGTCCGTTTTCAGTTACCAGAGGGAGGATTTCAAACTGGCATTAATCCGCCGCCCTCTACCCTGTCCGGGAAAACCCCCGTATAGTTCAAAATACGAGGAAAGGGAGGAAAAAAATAAATAAACTGAAGAACTCAATATTTGATCCTCTGTGAGTTGTGATTCAGGTGAATGTATATTTATGAAAGTGTGTGAACATTTTTACATATAGAATTTATATTATATTCTAATCACATTATAATATAATTTTAACTGATAATTATTAATGGTACAATATTTCTTAGTTTATTAATTACGTAATTACTTATTAATTAGTTTTCAATATTGCTTTATACGTGACATCTTATCCATAATAGTTTATATTCAATACTATACTGATGAGAAGACAGAATCAATTTTCTAGATCTATAAGATCTATAAGATCAGAATCTATATTTCTAAAAGGATGCTGCACGATTATATTGGGTAGCTAAAAACAAAGCATAGTTATAAAATTATTTTTTTGTTTCAATGTACTATTTTTACAAACCATAAAAAATATACTTTTCTTTTATCAACGCGTTTACAGTAAACAGCTCATATATTCATGTTGATCAAATCCATTTATAAAATTAATTATTTGGTTCAACAATTAATAGAGCAGATTAATTTTTATTAAATATTTTCCTACAGTTACATTATTTTTATCAATCTATTATATAACACACTCTTGAAAAGGGCAAGTGATGGAGTACTTTCATCTTGGTGTAGTGCATTACATTGCCTCGCCCTCACGGTAATATATGGCCTGATAAAGCTGTAGCAATTTTCCTTGAGTACAAGTTTTTCAAATGAGAAAAAATACCAACAATGAATTTTAAAGTTATGAGACTTTAAATTAATCTTATATTTTAATATGCATACGGATATATTTTTAATTTATATCAGTAATTTAAATAATACACGACATAAATAGTATGGGAAACATTAAAATTGTAATCAAGTTTATGACTTTTGATTTAACTTTATGATTCATATAGTAGTAATTAAAGATTTTTATTCAACCACTAGTTATTTATATATCCAGCTACTTGACGAACTGAAAAAAATACTGTAACACCTCAAAGAAATTTTTAAATTTGGAAGAGTTGGATGAAACAATGACACGAGTTAATCGACAAAAACAAAATAAATTGATTATTTTATTTTTTTATGGCTACAGATAGAACTGATGAAATCATTGGGCTTTACTAAGATAACGAATTTTGTTTATAATTTAATTTAAGTGGATAAAACTAATTGTGGAATAAAAAGCTCATGAAATTAAATAAATAATACATTTTACTGAAACAAAAAAAGAAATAAGAGCTTTGCAAAGTTAATTGTAATAATTTTTGCTAAAAATGCAAGTAATTTTAGGTGACTGGTTAGAACATCAAATCAATCACAATTTAAGGTGAATCTCAAAATTTATCGCAATAAACCTTAACTTAATTAATATGGACTTAAAGCATATTAAACGAGGAAGTTTTTCTAGAAGTCGGTAACAGTTGAAAATTGTTTAAACAAAATCGTGAATATTTTTGATTTTTTTATAAATAGAAAAATCCACTTTAAAAGGTTTTAACCATGACCAACTCAGATTTAATTTAAAGGAAATTTTGTCTAGTTTGCTGCGAAACAATGTTTAATTACTTAAATGAAATATTTTTTTAGTTATCTGTTCTTATTAAACAAAAACGTGAGGCGCTGAAAAAACAACGCAAATTTTAGACTTTCTACTTTACTGTAGGAAGTTTGGCAATTATTTATATGTACTTTTTTGTAGATTTTGATGACTGATATCAAACCTTTTAAATATTTTCCTCAACTTAATGGACACTTTGTATATATTTATATAGCTTTGTCCTTGCACTGCCCTATGACACATTTTGATTATTGTTTACCAACCTGATATATTCCATGGCACAATATGTAATTACGAGATTTGGCAATTGAAAGCGAGACTAACTTTGTAAAACATTTCATTTGGATTTCATACATATTCAATTTTTATCATCCTCAGTATACACCCCTCTTCTATCTATACGAAGCTGCATGCAAATCTTCTTATTCTTCTATCTCTTCATCACATGTAGTGTTGCCCAAATGCGAGACCGAGACTAACCTTGCTCTTGCAAACTCAGTCTTGGTCATGGTCTTGGCCTTGCGCAAGATTCTCGCAATAGTCTTGCAGTTACTTATTAGCTTATTGCTATAGAGATATTACTGCATTTTTTTAGATAGGAGAAACCTAAGTAAGCCCAAATGAAAAATTAGAAAAGTTAAATGAAAAATTATATTGATTATACAAATTATTAACATATAGTAACTAAGATTGTCAAGTATTAGTAACTATTTTGCCATAATTTATAGATTTGAAAATCGATTTTTTTTTACCAATCCTGGTCTTGATCTTGCAACAATTAGGTGGCTGATATGAAACTGTGAAGCTATCGTGGTCTCTTCCCAGTAGGTCGAACCTCTAATATCTTTATAGAGTCCATGTTCTCATTCATGCGTCTAACATAGCCAAACCATTTGAAATGTCTGTTCTCCAAAGTTCTTTTTAGTTGAGGTACTTCCAACAGCTCTCTTATGCTTTCGTTTCTAATGAGATTCCTCTAATGAGGGCATTGCTTTCCAAACCGATCTACGTATTACATCAATATGAAGCATCAGAGAATTGAGCGTTCATATCACTGCCTTAAACCTTTAAATAAAAATATTTAATACATCCAATTGCTTTGATAGTATATTTTCAAATATACCCATATGAAAAAAAAACTAATATCCAAAAATTTAATAATTCTAGTATATATATATATATATATATATATATACCTGCATTTTATAGGCAAAAGGCTGTATAAGTATATTTTTCCATTTATAAAGTAATGTCTATAAGGTTTATTTTTCATAAAAAGTTTATCATATTACTTTTGCCTCTGAGTTGTAAGAACTTCTACGCTTTTTTGTTCATTTCAAAATAAACGTCTTTCATGATTTGATCCGAATCAAAAAGAATTTTATAGATGAAAGTGAATACAGAAAGAATGTATTTTGATTTTAAGCTCATCAAATAATCATAGTTATCAGAGGTAGTATAAAACTGATGTAGAAGAAGAAGAGATAGGTGGTGTATAAAAAGCACTATAGGAGGAATTATGAATGAATAAAAAATTCTTATAGCAAGTAGCACGATTTTTTTTTTATATATTTGTTAAAGGGAGCAAGTATGCTCTCCCCCTTTATGACTAGAAAGACTTCTCCAGTGGAAGTAAATAAGATGATAGAATGGGATTTAATATTTAAACAGCGCACAAAGGAAATCCGGTTGGACAATTCATAGATAGTGCTATGTTCCTGGCCTCGCGTTTCTACGGCGAGTAAGGGGTTCCAGGAATCGCATTTATTTGTATTTAATAATTATATTTGTAATCATATCGGTTCCAGAAGGGAACCGATCTACAGAAAAATATATTAATTAGGTATTTAAAGGTAAGATACCACAGACCCCCTACTGTAGTATCCTAGATTGAACCATATAGTTTTTATTGGATTTCCTTTCTAAAGGTATCATGTTTTTAAATTTACTATCTGTTCTGTATCTAATTGGTGGCATGCAAGGTAGATGGTAAAAGTACTACGTTGGTTTACTAACTATTATATTTACAAATTCCGCAACCAAAAACATCTATATACAATATAATAACTAAACCTATATACATAATATTAGTTGCGAATCATACGAGAGGAGAATGCTTGATATTTGATTAAAGTTACATGTGTTATATTGACTCTATTAACTAACAATTTATGATTGCCAACACAAGTTTACATCTGTATAACTAAATGAAGGTTATTACTTAGCTGGTGAGGGGTGTTGTCGGTATCT